TCCCGTCAGCAGCAGCGGTCAACACGGTATCGCTAATGCGGGGGTCGGCATGGAGCGGGTGAGGCGCCACCGCGACAACAGTGGCGTGATGCGCGGGGCCATCAACGGATGTTCTTTGCGTCGAGTTGGAACGCGGCAACACGTCGTTTGTGATACTGAAGGCCGGCATGGCATTGATTGGAGACATCTCCACGAGACTCGAACTTTTCGTACGCCCCTCCAGTACGCGACCGTCAAGGCAGCCAACAACAACTTTGCTCATCGCATCGGCCGCCTTATCAACAAATGCAGCGCAAGACCCGACGCATCCAATTGGCTGTCCTAACACCATCCCGTCACGACTCGACGTAGGCAGCCCCAACTGTAGCGGCGCCCACATGCAAACACGTCCATCTTGACTGATAGTGTAAAGATGGTGATAGTTGACATCACCGTGAACTGCCATGCCAATCACACGAGACTGATGCGTATGTGGTGATGGAAATGACCGTTCGCTCGGTTCCACAGCGGCAACACCCCCCGCAGGCAACGGCATTAAAGACGGAGCTACAGAGAAACGCTCCAAACCATTCGCAATCACAGCACAAGAGTGTCCCTGCAAAGCATGATCAATCCTCCACCCAACCACACAGCCGTTCGCAGCGCCACCAAACAATAAATGTTGTCGATGTCGTGTGTACGTCAAAACGCGTATTTCGCTGTCAAAACACAGGGGTATAACACTGTAACTAGCATCACCAGTTTTACCGCGAGAGATGCACCAAAGAAGCACGAGACCACGAAGCTCACCGAGAACCTCCGCCACGGCTGCTGCGGTCGTTGCTGTGGAGGTGGACAACGGTAGTGGTAACAGCGACTGTGCGTCAATCCCACGCCCAGAGTGCAATTTGGGGGCACTGTCGCTCTGTTCATCCGCTTGATGCGGCTCTGAAAGGGCAAAAGCAACAAGAAAGCCGCTGCAATCGTCACTCACACCTGTGTTTCCACCAGGAATCTTTGGGTCCAGCATGACGACATCCAACACACAGCGGTCCTTGCAGTTGCAAAACGATTCTGCACGCAACGAATGTGCCAGCAGCATTGCGACGTCAGGCGGGGGCACAACACGCTGCTGTCCGCTCGCCTCACAATCCTGAGTTCGTTCTGTGGCGCACGCACTTGCATCCTCCACCTCAAGGGCCGACAAAACACCCACAACGGAGGCAGCCATCATGCCATCTTGAACGCTATGGTCATTTTCCCCCTCTTCTACAGTTGGCTTCAGCGCAAAAGCCCCAACGCCCACCTCCACCTTCCACGCACTGCCTTCCCCTCCCACAGCCTCGGTAGTGCCACTCCCCGTGCCACGACGGTTGACTTTAGAACGCAAATCACCAGAAGAAATCCTTGTAGACAGTGTAACCGGTGGTCGTCTTGACGCTGCGGCCGACGTCGTCCTTGAATCCCCCGTCTGCTGCTCCTCCCGCACACTCACCGCCGACAACGTCGAGGCCACACGATTCAAAGGATCCCCGCCCACGGACGACGCCATCGACGATTGCGGAGTGCCGCTGCGCGCAAGGGATGAGGAAGACACATGATGTTGGCTGCCCTTCTTCTGTTGCTGCTGGAGCTGCTGCTGAACAGAACGCTGCTTTGCCTCCCGCGCCGCGCGGATTTCATCCAACTGTCGACGCTTCTCCGCCAAATCCATCCTACCTTCTCTTTTTCCGTTGTTGTTGTTTCTCCGCCTCTACTCGTCCACCCGCAGCCGTCCGCCCCCTATACACTCGCCCTTATGCCTCTGAGAAAGGCCTCCACAATTGTTCCTCATCCACCCACCATCGCGGCAGCGGTCGCGTGACACCGTACCCACCACAAAATATAGCCAAAAAAGAAAAAAGAAAAAAGCATAATACAACAACAGAATAATCCTCTGGGCCTCTCGCCGAATCCTGTAGTTTTTCAATAATAGAAACCGAACCAGATATGAATAAGAAGGGGATGAATGGAAAAAGAATGAATTCACCATACCCTCAAAGCGTAACACCCAGTAAGTCTATAAATACATATAAATATATCACCCATTAGCCACAACTGTGGCCCACTCGCTCTATTCGGATGGATATATTTATTTATTTATTGATTACTTACGAGGTAGCGGACTTCGGGACTCCTCCAGCCACAAGACACCCCGCCGCGAGCGGTGGGAATCAAAAAAAAAAAAAAAAGAGGCCGGCGGGATGGTAAAATTTAAAAAAATAAAAATAAACAATTGTCTGGCCGCTATCGATTCCCTCCTCCCTCCCTTCATAGTCGCGTGCGTCCCTAAAATTCATACGATAAAAAAGTGTCGTAAATAAATTTATATTCCTTTTTAACAGGAAACATACACACACACACACACCTTTATATATATATATATGTACATGTATGTATGTATGTACATTCATTAGGGCAAGCCAGCTCTCCCGTGAACATACTCTTCACAAGCTCCTGACAAGCACGCAAAAACACTAAACCCGTATCCATTAAAACAAAAGAAAAAAAAAAAAAAAAGGAACGAGCCACAACATCTAAAGTCAAATACATGCCATTAAAACACAGCAACACAAACACACATAACAGCAGCGAAAATAAATAAATGGATAAATAAGGAGTACAAAAAAAAAAAAAGACAAAAAAAAAAAAACACGAATCAATCTAGGTACAAGCAATACAATACAAAATCTATATATATATATATATATATATAACATTCCTTAACGCAACCATACAAATCAAAAAATAGCAACAAATAAAAAAACAATGCGCATACACACAATCATCATCTATTGAGCATTATTCTCCTTTCCAAATAAACCACGAGCACCTAATAATTTCTTCGTCACAGAAAACTCATTTCCAGAACTCCCCGCAGAACCATCCGTAAAAGAAAGACGATCATGTCTAACACGTACACGAACATCATTTTCCGCGCTCTTTCGTTGAAGATTCACATAAGCATCCCTCAACTTACGACGACTTTTCTCCAAATTACTTATACACAACACGGCATCGTTACGCTCAGCGGTCACGGACTCAAGGTTCCTCTCCACCTCGGCCTTCGCGTCCTCCGTGGCCCGCAGGTTTTCGGCAAGCTCCTCGCGCTCAGCGGTCACGGACTCGAGGTTCCTCTCCACCTCGGCCTTCGCGTCCTCCGTGGCCCGCAGGTTTTCGGCAAGCTCCTCGCGCTCAGCGGTCACGGACTCGAGGTTCCTCTCCACCTCGGCCTTCGCGTCCTCCGTGGCCCGCAGGTTTTCGGCAAGCTCCTCGCGCTCAGCGGTCACGGACTCGAGGTTCCTCTCCACCTCGGCCTTCGCGTCCTCCGTGGCCCGCAGGTTTTCGGCAAGCTCCTCGCGCTCAGCGGTCACGGACTCGAGGTTCCTCTCCACCTCGGCCTTCGCGTCCTCCGTGGCCCGCAGGTTTTCGGCAAGCTCCTCGCGCTCAGCGGTCACGGACTCGAGGTTCCTCTCCACCTCGGCCTTCGCGTCCTCCGTGGCCCGCAGGTTTTCGGCAAGCTCCTCGCGCTCAGCGGTCACGGACTCGAGGTTCCTCTCCACCTCGGCCTTCGCGTCCTCCGTGGCCCGCAGGTTTTCGGCAAGCTCCTCGCGCTCAGCGGTCACAGACTCAAGGTTCCTCTCCACCTCGGTCTTCGCGTCCTCCGTGGCCCGCAGGTTTTCGGCAATCTCCTCGCGCTCAGCGGTCACGGACTCGAGGTTCCTCTCCACCTCGGCCTTCGCGTCCTCCGTGGCCCGCAGGTTTTCGGCAAGCTCCTCGCGCTCAGCGGTCACGGACTCAAGGTTCCTCTCCACCTCGGCCTTCGCGTCCTCCGTGGCCCGCAGGTTTTCGGCAAGCTCCTCGCGCTCAGCGGTCACGGACTCGAGGTTCCTCTCCACCTCGGTCTTCGCGTCCTCCGTGGCCCGCAGGTTTTCGGCAAGCTCCTCGCGCTCAGCGGTCACAGACTCAAGGTCCTCTCCACCTCGG